ACATCTGTCAGATACATTCTGCTGATTACCATAGACTTCATAACTCCAACTTTAACCCCATGAGCGTGATGGGAAAAGAAATTCTAAAGGAAACCTGCATTTGTAACTTTGCAATACAAATCTATACCTTGTCTGGTCCCCTCAGCTCATTAGGACATCAAGAAAAGGTAAGCCAACTTCCTTTTCTAACTCGATAGTTAATTTCTTCTTTTAATCGATCCTGTCCATTAAACTAATAAAATTCTCCAGATTTTCTTTGCCATGTTACCAAATTGCTAAGTAATCGTCCATATAGCTAACTAATAATCTAGGGACTAAAAGTGCCCCATAAATTAGGCGTTTCTCAAATTGAGTCATGTAATTATTTGCTAAAAATAGTGACAAACACGATCCCATAGCTAAACCTCGTGTTTGTTCATACAGTTTACCATTAAAATTTTGATGTTTTCTCACTAATATTCGTACAGACGATACCATAAAGGCTCTTTAATCGACATTAGACTAACAGGAAGAAAAGTAGAGTCAATAATGGTACTGACCAACCTGGTGAGGCACTGCATATTTTATCTTTACTAGTAAACTGTACGAACAAATACAAGGTTTAGCTATGTAATCGTGCTTGTAATCAATTTTAGTAAATAATTACATGGCTCAATTTGAGGAACGCTTAATTCAGGAGGCATTTTTAGTTCCTAAATTATTATTTCGCTACATGGACGAATATTTTGCTATTTGGCTACATGGCAAAGAAAAACTATAGCATTTTTTGGTTTAGTGAACAGGATAGAGGCGAAGACGAAATTAATCATCGGATTAGAAAAAGATGGAGGTTTAGTTTTTTGATGTCCTAGTTTGCGCAGAGGGGATCAGATTAGGTAGAGCTATGCATAGGAAACCCGCAAATGTAGGTTTCATTTTGGATTCCGATGGGCTAATCCGGTTCGGTCCTCCAATCCACATCTTCATGGTCCTGAAGATCCGTTTCTTTTATTTCTGGTTAACCGATTTCACTCGGTTTTAGTCCGTGTACGTTTTACTTCATGCGCTGCTTCTCAAACCCCTAGCAGCACGTACACGGCTGCTTAACCGAGCAGAGCGCCTAAGCTCTTATTCCCATGTCTGCGTATATTAGGCATTGCCTTCACGGGTCGTCTCCTCGATTAAATGCGTGTTACCTGAGCAAACTGTGGACGCCCATCTCTGCTCGCCTGCTGAATTTCAAGTGGATTTCTAATACATTTTGGCCATGATTCTGAATTTGTGACAGTTGTGCTTATCCGTCCTAGTTCCGTGACATCGTTAAACCAGATAAATAAGAAACGAATTTACGGGACTATGATGGAGATCCCTATAGTAGGCCAGAATCGGATTAGCTGATCGAAAGAGAGGAAGACAAGGTGAACAGCAGGTGTGACAAGGTCACACTAAACTTGCCAAAAAAGGGCACATCTTTTGACGAGTAGAAAGTAAACCAATCAGAAGTTGTGATAGACCGGGAGTGAGATAAGAGGGTAAGGAATAGATAGATGGGCCAGGATAGAAAGGGTAGTGATAGGACTGCCGTTACGACATAAAGTTAGTCGAGGAATTGACTTTACTTGTCTCTGATGAGTTGTAGCTTGGTGCGGAGAATGTCAAAATTCAATGATGATACCAACTACGATACCGGCTAAACGTCTGAGAATGTACCAAGTCCACCGTCTGATCCTAGGAATTATGATAACTGGTATGGTAGAGTAATTCGGACAAGTTGCGTTAAATCAAATCTCTTTGGCACTATGACCAAGTTGCGAAACAAAGGTCAACCCATTTCTATAAATCGAAAGAGGCTGCGACCATACCGACTATCATAGCATCTTGGTCTTTATATCTTAGATACACATATAATTTTCTTTTGGCAAACATTTTCCAATTATAGTCAGTAATACCAATGGCGGTGTTCCTTCCTTCTCAAAGCCCGACACCAGCTGCACTGATTCTGTTATCGCTACGTTTGGCGATACCTTAAATCACCCCACTTTCCATAAACCTTCTGATACTGAATCAGCAACTGTAGACGGCAATTTCAATAAATTGGCTTCTAACCCTTCACCGGCTGTCTTGGATACTTCTGATACTAGTGCAGCTGTTGATTCAACGACAGATATCCAAATCGACTCATCTTCGGCACTACTACAACAGCAGCCAGGTCTTGGAAACACAGGCAAGAAACGGGTTTCGGTCTCCTGGTTGAAGCAGAGGTAAGCATTGTCGTACGTTCCGCGATAAACAACCTTATTTTTCTAATGATGGATACATTTTTCTTTTAAGCTTTAATCTATTCTATTTGAAAATGCGAAATGAAGGATTTCGTTCTTGGGCTTATCTAAAAGCTTTCGTTTACTGGCCGCTATTCCGCCTCTGCCAGTAATAGGGCGTCATTTTGACCTAAAATCTCCGATAATGTTACATATTCGGCTAAAATCTATAATCGTAGGTATGAAGACCAAGATGGTGTGGCCTTTTGTGTGGTCGCAGCCTTCTTTCGTTGTATAGAAATTGTTTGACCTTGTTTTCGCAACATGGTCGTATTGGTAGGAAGACTTAGAGGAACGTACCTAGTCCGGAGTCCATTGTCTGCATGATCATTTCCAAAGTCGAACCGTGGACGTGGTATATTCCCAATGTTTCGCCGGCATCGTCAGTGAGTATCGCCATTCTTAGCACCATACAACAACTCATCAAAGAGACACAATGATATGAGTAGAGCTGACATTTCCATTGAATTTCACATAGCCTTGTTTTCCCAAAAGTTGTTCTCATTTAGGCTGGACTGCAGTTTCGACCTCGCATTGGTCGCACCCGCTGGGGCTGTTGATAAGACTGAGGTGAGGTCGAGACTGCAGTCCACCCTGGATGAGAACAACTTTGGGAAAGCAAGGCTATGTGAAATTTAATGGAAACATCAGCTCTACTCATATAATTGTGGGAAAATTCTTCTACCAGTCCTTTATCACCTTAAACGAAATTGTATGAATACATTTCATATTACAATTTATAAGTCATTTAGCTGGAGGGTTGATCACTTGATATTCTTTTAATAATCCCTATCTGTTTATTACAGCCTTTGTTGTCCTTGTGACCTTCATCTGTTATCCATTACAGAGAAACACAATAGTTAATTTCTTTAATTTGTTCTCAAAATCTCTTCTTGGATATATACTTGTTTCAAGATTTCCAACAGGGCCACATGTACCTTTTCTCTTATAAGGTTTATATACATCAATTGTACATCACCACTTACTAATGCTTCTCTTTCTTCCAGTCGCTTTTTCATCTTTTGTGTAATTGACCCCGGGGAGCTCTGCCGCGTACTTTTTGATCTTCCAATCCGTACTTTGCTGGAAGAAAAATACCGATGTTTTGGATACTTTTATAAGATAAAAACAATCTCCAAAAAAAGAATGATTACTATTTGCTGGACATGGCAGGTTTTCTAGAAAAATAACTTGATGAGTTAAGCAGTTTATGTAAATCATGAGTGAGCAAGTGTTGGAGTGAAGATATATAGACCTTGGAAAAGTCTTAGAGTTAAGCCTGTTCTGCTTTAACTCTCGCCTGATGCGAATACCTGCTTATGATTTGTGTGAGAGGTCATCGTTTGGCATATTTAATGGTGGACTCGGTACTGTGGCAAGTTTAGGTGTGTCAATATGAAGGACTCTAGATAAGGGATATCCACGAGTAGACTTCATGTTGGGTAATAGCTGCTAATGCGATTTAATTTAATAGGCCGTTGTGGTTCTTTGCTAAAATTCACATGAATTATTCACGATATTTTCTAATCCTTCGTTTACATTCCTGATCCTCAGTCAAA